CGTCATATTTTTATTTTAAACCTTTACAGGTTTGACGTGTTACTTCTTTCTACACTCTTGCTGAATCTGTCAAATTTCCACAGTATCGTTTCTGTCTGTTTCATTATGCGGGAAAAAGACACAGAATTTAACTACGGATGATTACTATTTATATTTAGCTGACATCTAAATTTGTCTTCTTTACAAATACAACAGCGTTGGTGATTAAAAACTCTTCAACTTCAACTAAATGTTGTCAGAGAGAAAAAACAAACAATTATATCAAGTGGAACGTAAAATAATAAAATATGGAGAATAACATATCTTATTCTGGTTGGCAACAATTGAATGACTTGAATTGAGGACAGACACTATAGAGTCAGTTAATAAGCCTTATATGTATGTATGGATATATGTACGTAGGGTACGATCGATGAATTACTGCCTAAATTATACAAAAATGAAAGTAACACTGATATCTCGTTTTAACAGATATATTTACCAAGACTGCACAAAAATAAGTTTAAGTTCGAAAGAGTGCATTTATTTCGCCATTGGCTTCAAACACGATCTCCAGAAGACTTCGGAATCTCCTGAATCTCATAGTCTCCTTGTTAAAGTTGATGAATGCTGCCAAGATCCTTGCCTTCAGTTCAACTTTGCTGTTACTAGAAAATAATCAAGGGGATTATAGTCTGGGGAGTACGTGGCCAGATGTAATGGGTGATGTGATGGCAGAAATTGTTTGACAGCCATGACTGGGTTTCCTTGGTTATATTCCATGGGGCAGAGTCCTGTTTCCAGACATAGGGTTTTCCAGCAGTCACCCTTTGGGCTCAGGACAGCAATACCTCCTCATGACACCAGATTTAGGCCTCCATGTTGAGTTTGAGGCCCTCACCAACTAATACTTGCTGTTTTCTTATTAGAACGATCAAAGTGAGTTTGCCGAGCAGCCGTAAATTAGACTCATACAACCCTATCCTAATCCTTTGCCCTGTCCATAGAGAAATCACTCTGAAATCTTCATATCGGACTTTCAACGCGAATACAAAGCAATACAGCATGCCGTTCCCAAATTTCTGATGAAGTGAATTGCGTCATGGTGATTTTTTTCATTGATGGTGCCGAACTAATTCTACTATACTCTGCAGTAGGCAAAAATAACCAACAATAATTGTGTATGCCTGAGTATATATATATATATGTATATACTCTCCCGTCGAATTCGACGTATGAGGGTCAAGCAGATCAGTTCCTATGAAACTGACAGCCCGACACCAGCACATGAGATTTGATTATAGCGGTGAAGGTTTTGTGCAGAACCATCCACACTTTTTAAAGGTCCGAATACAGAGACTTGGTGCACTACGTGCCACAGGGTACTCAAACGACCCCACATGGGTTTTGAATTTAGGGTTGTCCTTCGCCTAGACAAGTTGCCATCCTAGGCTATAAGACCCAGTCTGTCAATTTACCCATAGCTGGAGGCAGAAGAAGAGGATTCACACCTTTCCCTAGAGTATTAGCACGTAAATGAATGTAATGGATTCGACTGGAATTCGAACTCGGCTCTCCGATTTCTCAGTCCAAGCCGCTATCCACTACTCCATATGCAGGTGAAAACGTCTACATAATTTAATTGCACATGAATTTATTGTTAATTCCCGTGGTCCATACATTTGCTAGAAGTTTGTCTAGCGTTGGTCACTGACCAATGAAGTTTGTCCACTTTACAAAAAATGCACTATGGCGAGAAAGATTTAATTTTGGTCTTTCCCTCACCAAAGTCAGCGTCACCAAAATCACTCTAGCTTTAATGTTTGCGCCATCAATCCACTAGAAAACATTTTTTTTATTATTATTTTAATCACCCTTTTGAATTTTTTTTTTTTTTTTCATCTTACTGTGTGCATTTATCTTATTTCCTACTATTTTATCTTTTTTTGTTTTAAACTTTGCCGCAGTATATATATATATATATATATATATATATATATATATATATATATATATATATCTGTAGAAGTAAAAACATAATTTACCTCTTAGAATGCACACTATGCCAGAAACAATATGTAGGAAAATCTGAATGGCCCTTTAACTACAGAATTAATAATTATCGTAAGCGAATTAAATCGACTCCCTATGAATAGTTATTACCTGTAGAACAACATTTCCGCCTAGAAAAACACGATTTAAAAACCCATGCCAGATTCACTATAATTGAGAGAATAGAAAAGTTTAGAGCAGATAACATTAGAAAGATTTTAGAGTCCCATGAAAATAAGTGGATACAACGTCTAAAAACAAACTACCCAGCCGGGCTAAATCATAAATTTAACAATATATAATAGTAACAATCAACAAATCAAAACCTACCCACATTTCTCACCCACACAAGACAGACATGCTTACGGAGGAATGGAGGCCTCACACTTATACACTCACAAACACGATTATACACACGTACACACACCATACTCACTCACTCCCTAATGAGCGAAATGATAACACACACCTACAGCAATACACACGCTTACACATATCATACTCACTCCCTCCCTAAGAACCAAATAACACACACACAAACACTAAACAGAAACACATCCCCTCACCAGGTCCAATAAAACTGTCAAACTGACCAGATAATTCAGGATAAAATGTATCTATCCAGTTCTTATCTCAAATAACAACTTAAAAGAGACTGTTTGACCAACACAAGGAATGTTAAAAGATTCATGTGAAAAAGATAAAAAATAAAAAAACAAATGAAAACTACAGACAAAAAGTTCATTTTCTCCAACAAAAGACATTCATTTCTGTAGTTCACTTGCCAACAGCAAGCAGAAATATTTATCCTCCCGATGATGGCCATTTTCGGTCGGAACTAGTCGAGGAATCTAAATGGAATAATAATAATAAAAAACGAAAGAATATTAATCTACAACCCAGTGTGTCTAATGATTTTAATTTTTTATTTTTTATTTTCTTATTGTTCAATATATATATATATATATATATATATATATATATATATATATATATATATGCGCGTACTAACGTTCACTAATTTAGTTGCACACTAATTTATTGTTAATTATCGAGACCCTTAAGTATAATGGAAGTTTAAGTAGCGTAGGTTACTGAGCGATGGAGTCTGCTCAATTTCCAAAAAAAGTTGATACTGTAACAAATAAGTTAAAAATTTATATCTGTTCTATACTCTCTGTCTATAAACCTCCTTCCGGTCCATAATGAATCTTCTTTGTAAACCTGATTTTTTTTTCTCTTGATTAGATAACTTGCCCATTATATGGCCCGCCCGTTTAAGCATCTACGATACTAATTCAAATGGGGGTAGTGCATCCTCGTTACCCACCTTTCTCCCAATTAGTCCTCAAGTACATGAGATAGCTTCTCTAGGTGCCGTTATCTATCGGGACCAGTATGATGGTTTCTGGACGTTGCATTAGACTCTCCATATCATGCTGAAGGGTAAGGCTATGGCTGTATCTCTGGGGGATCCTCTCCATGTTACGCTACATCTTTGGGTGTGTCTGCCTCTCTATCTAATAGACTTCAACTAACTAATGAATGGGCTCAATTTTTTTATAGAGATATTCATCATTGGGATATTATATTACTTCTCATTAATAAAGACAGCTTTTCACTTACCAAAATTAAAAAAAATGAAGTAAAGTGAACAGTTTTGAATAAAGGTGAAATTTTAGTAAAGAAATACGGTAACTAATATGAAAAAAATGAACGTTATTTTGGATAAGCTAGCTTCACTTTAGCCAAGAAGCAATGTTTCCAGCTTCGCAGAAAAATATTCGTTGACATTTGTCATTCTTTTATTCAGGAAAATATCATCAGTAACCAACTTTTCTTTTATTCCTTCCCCTTTCCTATAAGTCTTGTGCACACGATTGTATTGGCAAAACGCATAGCGTTGGTATTTCTTTAAATATTTTTTGTTTGTCAAATACTTAATTTTTCAGTACTGTTATATACATCCATCTAAAGTTTTAGCACATAATTAACTAATCATATCATTGCTTAAACACCCATATTCATCTGAAAGTTTCATGTCAATGTCTATTTATATCGTAAGGAATATTTTAAATTTTGCATTTTAGTATACATATCGTTTGAACACATAATATTTGAAAGTTTATTTTTGCACGGTATGAAATATTTTCTTTCTTTATTTTGGCGCCTTTCTTCTTGTATTATTTGTTTAATTCTGTTCTATTTTTATCTTATATTTTTATTCTCTTTTGTTATGTTTCTCTCATTCTTTCTTACTCGCTTGAATATTCATGATTTTTTTGATTTTTTTCTCTTTCTTGTATTGTTGAATTTTCTTTTCTTTTCTTTTAATCTTTCTGCATTTTTCTTGTACGCTTTCTTTAGTTCTCTAGACTTTTTTTCATTCATGATATTTCTTCGTTTCATCCATTTTCCTCCCATTCTTTTTGTCATTTAATTATTTTTTCACTGTCCGCTCGATGACTATTTTCTTTATATATATTTATGTTATTTCTTTCTTTATTTCTTTATTTCTTTACTTTTTGTTCAATTTTCTGCATTTCTTTTTTTTTTTTTTTGTTCTTCAGTTTTTCTTTCTTTCCTTTTTATCAGCTTCCTTTTGTTTTTCTTTCTTCATTTATGTTTCTCTCCTTTCTTCCTTCCTTTCTTCCTTCCTTCCTTCCTTTCTTTCTTTCTTTCTTTCTTTCTTCTTACTCTATTTCTCTTTGTTTATTTTTATTTACTCTATCATTTTTCGTGTTTCTTTCTTTATTTGTTTCTTTTTAATTCTTTTCTAATATTTTTCTTTCTTTTTTACTTTTTCTTGCACTACTATTTGTTTCTTTTTATTTACTCTGCCTTTTTACGCTTTTCTTTCTTCATTTTGTTTTTTTTTTATTGTTTTCTAATATTTTCTTTCTTTCTTTTTTCTCTACTTCTCTTTCTTTTTATTCTCTTACTCTAACTTTTTACGTCATTCTTTCTTTATGTGTCTTTTTTATTCTTTTCTTTCCTGTCTTTCTTTCTTTCTTTCTTTCTTTCTTTCTTTCTTTCTTTCTTTCTTTCTTTTTTTCTTTCTTTAGTTGTTTCATATAATTTGCTTTAATCCCCCCTTACCTTTCTTTATGGTCACAAATTCTCTCGTTCTCGAATCTGTACTTGTACATTTCCGAAGCCGTCAATCATTTAGAATCATTTTTTCGTGTTGATTTCGCAGTCGTTCAATCGAAAACATGTCATTTTTTTTTTCTTCCACTGATCAAATATATCCAGTCAGGCGCTTAACCAGTTTCACTAAGTGACTTCCAAGGTACTTCTATTTTGACCAGTGCATGAGCTAATTTAGTGGAAAAAATAACGTTTCTTATAACTATCTGTTTGTAGCTAGTATGAAAACATAATATGATACCGTTGGCATTGATGTTGTCCTTAGCAGATCTAAGAAACTTGGGAAAATATCATGCTGTTGATTTGTTTCGATTTTTACGTGCTTTGAGATTTTAACTTTACTTGTATTTTTTTTTTTTACATTATTATCTATTTTTATTCCTTTCCGCGAAATTGAATATTTTAAAAAAAGATACTTGTGGTTATTTTAAAATTTACTTGGCGATAAAAACATATTTCAAATTCGTGAGAAATTAGAATCTATTTTAAAGAATCTATTTAATAACATAATTAGTATAGCACGTAAGGAAATTGTCCCAATATTCATTCCCTCATGCAGTCGTATTATAAGAATCATTTTTATGTTCTTTTATTAAATAATGTCTTAAAATGTTAATCATAACGTCTTCCTGACTTTATAGAATAGCTATATTAAGGTCTTTCCAAATATATTTGAACATTGGATTTATTTTCAAAGATGTAAAATTGGTAAATGTAAGAAAATTGAATGCATGATCGTTAGCATGAAGAGCAGCACAAGATACAATTTGAAGATATAAAAATCAAGCAATTATCTGGAAAACGTTTTAACAGATGACGGAATATGTGGCACAAATCGGAAGGCGCAATTGGAATAGCGAAATATGTCTTACAAATAGTTACCAAATTATTAAACACCAGAAAATCAGTTAGAGGCAATGAGAAGAGTGCAGAATCCATATATAATATTAAGGCAAATTACTTCATCATTGAAACAAGGACATGAGAGATGAGGCGGATATTGGATATAACATGGATGGAATTTGGATCAGTAGGGAAACTATAGGCTAAATCAAAACAGAATTGACGCTTATATTTAAAATCAGAAAGAGACAGTTCTTGACACACGTGTGTACGTACGTTCTAAAGTGGCATAGCATATAAAATAGGATTTATATCATCAATATATGATCATATTTCCGGCAGTAACGTTTACTTCCATACTTAACCATTGAAATAACTTTTATTTTATTTTTCAATACGCAGCATAGAGATTAATTTTCGAATGATACTAAAGCAAATGTTTGATTCATATTTGAAAACAACAGCATTTTATGTACCAGTCGACATATTTGATTTGATGACGTCGTAAATAACAAGAACTAAGTATGAGACACGTGTTCGATTTTTTTTTTATGTAGGCGTAGATCAATTGCAATTGGTATATAAGTGCAGTATCGATTATTGTCTCATTACCAATCAGCTACTCATTAGCGTGAACCAGACTTTTGGTGCATTTGTTTAAAGACGCCAAGTAGCGGACGATATAAATATCAAGTTAAAAATAACTTCATATACGAAGCTGTAAAACTAGATGTTAACTCGAGTAATTAAACATTAATTCTGTGTGCGCGTCCACACGGCTAAATAATGTTGTGAAGCAGAGAAGTTCGAAATACATGATTCTAAAATAAAGGGAATATTTCATCTCAAAATTTGTCTGAAATATATATTATTTACATTGGAAATAGTTCTCTAATACGTGTTATTATCATAATGTTACGGTCATAATGATACATCGTCATTCCAGGCAGAAGTATATATTTATAAAAATAGGACGTTAAACTCTGATTAAATACTTGATTTTTTTACGAAGACTGAAGTAATTTGAATAAGACTTACAGCTTTGATATCTACTTGTATTATTCCTACCTAGACAATTGTACATGCAAAGTAATATGCTTGGAATTTGTGTTCTGGACAATGCATTTCCTATTACTGCATGAATGTCTAAATTCTTCAGTGAGCATCTTCCCTTGCTTCATTTTTATATTAAAGCAATGATTTGTCCGTTCTGAAATGTTATTGCAGTTATAGAAATTTACTAAGTGAAAATAAATAAATCGCATGAATTATTTCAAAAGCTTCTCAAAATTACCTCAAGTAATTAAACATTAATTCACTGTGCGCGTAAATATGGCTAAATTATGTTCTGCAGCAGAGAAGTTCGAAATACATGATTCTAAAATAAAGGGAATATTTCATATCAAAACTTGTCTGAAATATATATTATTTACAATCGACCTAGCGTCCTAATATTTGTTCTTATTAACATAATATTACAGTCATAATGATAGCTCGTCATTCCAGATACAAGTATCTATTTATAAATAGAGTAGGCTGACAGAAAGTTAAACTCTGATTAAATACTTGAGTTTTACGAAGATTGAAGTTATTTCAACATGGCTTACATCTTTGATATCTCCTATTATGCATTATTCATATCCAGACAATTGTACTAGCAAAGTAATATGATCGGAATTTATGTTGTTACAATGCAAGACTGGCATTGACAATTACTAGATGAATGTCCAAATTCTTCAGTGAGCATGAAAATGTTATTGCAGTTATAGAAATTTACTAAGGAAAACGAAAAAAAAAAAAAAACTCGCATGAATGATTTCAAAAGCTTCAAATAGTAGAAAAAAGCTGAAAAAACATTTTGACAAGGGACAAAGTTTTTCAGCGCGGCTGTTGAATTGCGTCGAATCTAGTATAAAAGAATTTGAGAATGGCAAGTAATAAAAATCACGGAAGTTTTTTTATGACACACACATCACGCAGAACGACTGACAAATTGGCATTTGTTAATGAAAATAGTAATGTTAGTTCATTAATTGTTAATTCTCTTTCTCTCTGGGGGTTTCCTACCTAACATTTTGTTTGAAATACTGTGGAATATTATTTGGTTTGTCATTATTTTCTCTTTGCGTTACATGCGCTATCCATTTAAGTTGTGGCTGTTGATGATGAGAAACAAAAATTAGAAGACACATATAGATAGAAAAACAACGCTCGTTCTCAAACTTCATGAATTTAAGCGTTCAATTAGACTGGCATCTCGCTCTGATTCTTCGACTGTCGAAACTGTTAAATGTAGCCGTCTCTTCTACTCCAATAGCTTTACATCTCGCACCTCTCACCTGTGGAACACCCTACCCTCTTCCTGTTTCCCTGATAGCTATAATCTTCAAATATTCAAATGTAATATCAATCGACGTCCCCAGATGACCTGATCTACCCCGTATCCTTCTCTTCATCCTTTCCTCTATCACTCCTATTTGCTCTAGCTCCAACTCTCTGTAACCCATTGCGTGCTATCGGGCTGCGATGAAACGCTTAAGAAAAAAGGTCATACAAAACGTACACAAAGAGTTGCGTATTGGCTTCTTTGGGAATAAAAATATATCATTTTTAATCGCGAAAAATCAATACAGTAAGAAGAAACTGATTAAGTTTATTACAGAAGAAATCGAAAGAAAGGAAAGATAATCTAGGAAAAGGGATGTGATTTACAATCATGTCAAAGTTTAGGGCAGATATTTTGATGAGAAATGGTAAAAAAATTATACATCGCTGCTATGTTTTCGAAGCCATGAATTTCAAACATCCACGTCGATATTATTTTAGAAGAAACATATTAAATATTTGCCCACACGAATCACATAATTGATGCCATAAAACCAAATTATGGCCAGCAATATATAAAAACCTAAGTTTTTTAGATTCTGAATTTTTCCTTGTTATTATTTTCTTTCTTAAAATAGAATGAAACCAGGTAATTAGTCTACGGTTCCAAAAGAATGGGAAATGTGTCTTGCACAGAGCTCTTCCAATGAACGGCGAAATTCAGTAACACGATTTATATTACCAATTTTTGTTTCTGCTAATTTTTCTAAAATTTAACAAATATTTCGTTATTTGGGTTTGTGTATTTATGTACTATTTTGGAATTTCTCTTCTTTTGTAGTGTTTACCTAACGTTATGTGTATATATATATATATATATATATATATATATATATATATATATATATATATATATATATCAAAGTATATAATTGGTATATACGGAATGAATTCCAATAACCAACAATTACTATTCTTAAAAGAGTGCTCAATACAAAGTAGAGCAGATATAATTATGTTTTATAAAAAAATTATAACATAAGTATACTTATGTTATAATTTTTTATAAAACATAATTATATATATATATATATATATATATATATATATATATATATATATATATATATATATATGTATGTATGTATGTATGTATGTATGTATAAACGTTATTTTGGTGAGAAGATTCTGCAACACGTAATGTACATAATGTCTATATACGTACATTATTTATACTCGAACCACAGCTTGGTAGCGAAATTTAGTATTTCTTGGTTTTCTGCGAATTGATCTTGATAAAAATCCCCCCCAGCCAGCTGGTTTGCCCAATATGGCAACATCATTGTGAGGTTTTTATTTTTCTTGTAACGTCCTTTATTTTTTATTTCCGGTTCAACAGTTTTTTGGTGAAGCACGCTAATAGCTAATCTATATAATTTTTGTAGAAAATGAAGGATAATGATACACACTAAGCATTCTATGAGTAGATATCTAACAAAAAAAAGAAAACATTATAATATTACATGTTATTGACATAATGCATTATTTGGCCACATTAGCGACATTTCGACAGATAACTTGAGAAAAACTATTATTCATGAAATGTGTCAACTTTTTATCGTAACAGTTATGGCTGCCTCTGCTGCAGCTCTGGTGGTCGCCAATAAGATATTTTTAGACGTTAATTGGCGTTCATCGGCATAAGCATCTTGTTTGATAATGGATCAAAGATTTTCGATGGGGTTGAGATCTGGAGGTGCAGTCGCTCACACACTCAACATTTCACATTGTATGTTGTAAGAGCCTAGGAATGCCTGGATGACCCTGTCAGAGTGGGAGAGAGCGTTGATATGCATGAATACTAGAGTCTTTAGAAGTGACAAAGGTATGTGAACGTGCAATGAATTCAAGACTTCCTTTAAAATTTTTGCAGTAGGCGGCTGCAAACATTTAAAGCCTTCGGGCACATGACTGGGCCAATATGTCTGTCTCCAATGATACTATCCCACAACATGACTCCGCCACACTGTTGTTGATGTTCTAAAAGATCGTGACGCTTATCTTAGAAATAGACCCAACCATTTGCTCAACTGTCATGTCCGTCAAGAATCTTTCTGTTCTAGTCAGTGAAGACCACGCAACGTGATATACTTCCGAGCGCATTGGTCCTTCAAGTTCCTGTGACAGAGCATTAAAGGAGATAGTTTCAAGGGAGCTCGGACGGAGGCCATGGTCCATAGGATGCGATTGCTGTTGGTTTTCAATACATGAGGACCTCGAGCCGCCATGAAAAAGAACTTGCTTGTTTGTCAGGGTTTGATACATGACTTTCGGATAATATTCCTTAAATCTGAAGCTGTGACAGTCTTGGAGGTCCCATATCGGATCGTTTCTTCATTGGTGAATTATCACTCAATAATTGTCTAACGGTGTCCACATGACGACCTAACTTCTTCGCAATGACATGAAGAGAAGCGCCTTGACACACGTTTCTTCACTGTTAAGGCTTTTTCACGTCATATTGTTCTAAGAGAGTAGAGACGCTATAGGCGGGGTTCATCCAAAACAACTATTGAATCTAAATTAAAAATAATAATAAAGGATGTTACACAGATTATTGAAAAACTAACAATGATGTCGTCATATTATGCAAACCAGCTGAGTAAGCTTTTATCAAAATCATTTCAGAGAAAACTAAGAAATACTAATTTTCCCTACCAAGCTATTAGCGTCGTTCGGGGTATATGATCTAATGGTTGTCATAGACGGGTGTAATAATAGGGAGAAGCTCTTTCAGTCTATAAAATGCTTCCGGCAAACGCGTCTCAAATAGTCCTTGGCAATTTGACGCCTAATAACAAGCTGCATTGGTAGATGGAACTCGACAGCTCAGGAAGACAGTTCATCTAGTGAAAAGAAAACCCTTACTTTTAAATCGCCACTGCCTTACTGTCATATCCAATCAGGGAAAAGACTATGGAGTATATCCAGAAGGAAAACTGGGAGTGGAGACGCAAAGGCGATTGGCTTTCAACACTGACAACTTTCTGGCAACTCCTGCAGCCCAGCTCTCCCAAAGGTAATGCCATATATTCCTTTGGATCTTGCCGTACGGCTGAGATGGTGGGGGAGGTTTTGTTGTCTGGAGAGCGTGCGCCCTCCATATGCCATCGTCCAGGCCTGAGACCTGAAGAGGCTAATCAAGTTTTACTAACAATGGAATGAATGTTGATCAGACAGAGCGCTATATTTATCTCGCAAGATGTCTACTAAGATTTTATGTGCTGCTAGTCTGTTACCGCCTGCGATACATTCCGAACGTCACTTGTAACGATATCTAAGGACCCCTTTTCGACTATATCAATGTCGTCAGGTAAACTTACAATTAGTTATGCTTTCTCTCAACCCTTCCTGTAAAACATGAACCAAAAAAGTTCGACGAAACTACGGGACTAGCGAACTACATTAAAGTGTTGGTTCATGAATTTGGTGACATCGTAATTGTTAGTTCAATCCCTGGACAGAGCAGTATCTACTCAGTGAAAGCAGGACGAGAAGTATTAAAAAAAAAAAAACTTGACCAGAAATCCCTTGATATGAGCGGTGAAACGAGAATAATTTTCCCTAATAAATAAATAAAGTTTCAGTTCGGAATTCCATGCAGGTTATCTGGACTGATGAGCACCTGATGACGGCCAGAGAACAAAACGGCACAAACGTTGTGATAATAACAACAAAGATGAAAAGAATATTCCGGCTATAGATAGCGTAAATAAAATAGATAAAGAGATGTCAAATATCCACGCAATTCCACAAACAGAATATCGCTTTGTTTTGGTAGAGGCTATCATGCGCTGGCCGAATTCCAGTTGTTCGACATCCTCGAATAAGCCCAGCCCAGCCCAGCCCAGCCCAGCCCAGCTCATATGCACATAGACTGATCAGATGTCAGGCCACAACTAATATAACTCTGAGTATTTATATGACATGGTCATTGGAGAAACCAAATTACTTAATTACATGTTACCTCTCTTGGATTTTGACATGACATTGTAGCTTAAACCCGGTGGAGAATTAAATATTGTGTAAGGAAAATATGGTTGACGCTTTTATTGTTATAGGTGATCTTTGAAGAGACTTATAAAGTAGAAATGTAGGCAAAAAAGGAAGAAGCAATAAGCATAAAAATTAAATGGATTATCAAATCTGCTAGAAATTCCGCGGAGATTTCTCTACCATCATGCAAACTTGCTGTCACTTGATTATCAGCGAAAGACACTAGAAATTGGACAACTTAGTTATAAAAACGTTGCTTCTTGAGCCTGATTAATCCCCATCTTTTCAAGCAGAAAAACGGTTCTGATAATTGCATAGCAAGCAAAGGTGGCCTGCTTGATTCTAGATACTCTATGTCAATGGATATGGAATGAGCATGTCTGGAAAATATAAGAAAGTCAAAAATGGGAAAAAAATATCGGCAGTTCCTAGGAGATCAGTGGAAATGATAGCAGGGTGTGAAGAGAAATTTAAGTTTTAAACAGATTTAGAGATTCCTCAGAGACCAGAGTTGTCGTATCAGTGACGCTATTCAAAAAATGGTGAAAAATTCATATCATTTTATATTTTTGAATATCCAGTGATGAAGTCAGATAGCTGGAGGATCTAAACCAGAAAATGCACTTGATATATTATAAGCAAAACTTCGAATATTATTTCTTTGACACATATTTTCGCATTTTGTATTTTTTTAGTTCATTTTCACTTTCACACAATTGAACTAAGCGCTGGCTGAGTTAAAATTCCCGTCTTGATTGCTACAAATATCCTTGGGAAGGGTATAAATGCATATAATCTCCCACCCCAATATGGGTTGGAAAGTTTGAGTGTATCTGAAAAAAAATCATTGCTATTTTAAAAATAAGCTCATTAATGAAATATCCACTGGCAAAAAATTGTATTATTCCCTTAATAAAAAAAAAATGCTTTTCAGCATATAATAAACTATGAAAAATTCAATCTTACTTTCATTTATATATTTCTACTTTCTTTTATATTTTCATTCGGTTTTCTATTCTTTAACGCAAATATTTTTTTTTTATTTTTTGCTCTCATTTTGTTTGACACTATCCTTTGTATTTTTCTTCCCTATTTTTATTTGGTATTCTTTATCCATTATTTTCTTTATTCCTTATTTTGTCTTTTATTTTCATTCTGGAATTCTTTCTGACATTTATTTTTTCTTGTATTTCCTGTTTCTTTAGACATTTTCAGTAATTCTTTCTTTTTGCTTCTATCTTTCATTCATAATTTTCTATCACATTTTTCCAGTTTTTTACGTTTTTTTTTTTTTTGCAATTCATTGTTTTGATTTTTTATACTTTTATTCTCTCCCGTATTTCCAGTTCATTTGGATATATTCTTTCTTTCTTTTACATTCGATCTCAATTTCAAATTTTAGTTTTCATTCTTGTTATCTTTCTTTCTATATTACATCTTTTACCCCTTTACAGACATTTTCAGTGTCTTTGAATATTTTCTTTCTTTCTTTCTTTTCTTTCTTTCTTTCTTTCTTTCTTTCTTTGTTTATTTCGTGACGAGTCTTTTCTTTTCTTTCATTCTTTCTTTCTTTCATTCTTTCTTTCTTTAAATCTGTGTTGGTTTTTTCTTTTCTTTCTCCTTTCTTCCTTTCTTTTTTCTCCCTTCTATCCTTACTGTCTTTCTTTCTTTCTTCTTCCCTTCTTTCTTTCTTTCTTTCTTTCTTTCTTTCTTTCTTTCTTTCTTTCTTTCTTTCTTTCTCCCTCCTTCTTTCCTGCTTTGCTTTGCTTTATTTATTTATTTCCTGCTTAGCCCTTTCTTTTCTTTGTTTATTCTTTTATTTCTTTTCCTTTCTTTCTTCCTTGCTTTCCTTCATTTTTCTTTTACTTTCTTTCTGTAGTTCTTTCTTTCTTCCTTCCTGCCATTCTATCTTTTTTCTTTCTTTCTTTTTCTTTCTTTCTTCCTTTCTTTCTTTCTTTCTTTCTTTCTTTATTTATTTCGTGATTAGCCCATTCTTTTCTTTCTTTCTTTTATATCTTTTTCTTTCTTCCCTCCTTCCTTTTCTTCATCTTTCTTTTTCTTTCTTTCATTTTTTCTTTCTTCCTTCCTTCCTTTCATTCATTCATTCATTCATTCTTTCTTTCCTTCTTTCTATATCACTTTATTTTTATATTTTCTTTCAAGTCCTTCATTATATATTTTCATTCTTCCTTTCTGTTGTGTATTTCTATTTATTCTTATTGCACTCTCTTTTTGACTTCCTTCCCTTCGTTTTTTGAATTGACCTCCTTCTTTCCAGGTTTGTTCACTTCTTTTTCTAATTTTTTTTTTTTAATTATATTCATTTTTTTCATTTTTTCTGCTTTTTATTTGAATTGTCTTTCGTTTTGTCTTTTTTTATTCTTTCCTAAATTCGTTGTTCTTAATTTCTTTTTTTCTAGACTCTTTTATTCGCCTTCTGTTTTTTCTTCCATTATGCCTTTATTTGTGCTTCTCTTTTTCTGAATTAATCATTTTCATGAAAAAAATGGCTCGACGAATAACATATAGGCTATTTCTACAAAAATAAACATATATAAATTGAAAATAACTCCTACCATTCGATTTTCTTTCAATTCTGGGTCGACTGCATCTTCCCGGGTTATGCACGACCCACGAGCACAAATTTAATTAGCATCTTCCTAGTCAGCAAAACCAATTTCGTATTTTATATATTAAACCTCAAGTGAGAAAATGGGTTCGGCTCTTTTTGCTGATATCCCTATTGTAAAATCTTCCAAGGTTGCATACAAATCATCTTTCAAGGCTTAAATTCAACGTGAATCATGATAGGGTCGATATGACTTAATTAATCAAAACTCGATGAGGCAGAAGTTCTATCGATGTCTCATGTGATTGCATTAATGACCCGATTCATTGGCCTTAAAATCTATGAATGAAATTGACTCTTGTATCCTATGCATCTATGTCATTCAGTTATCAGAATATAAACTAAATGGCTAATGTAATGAAAAAAAATAATATCAAATGTTTCATTTTACTATTTGTAAATCTGATTGAAACGCAGATGTTTTCCTACGGTATAATTCTAAAAAATAATTGAAACATAGTACAGGCCAATGTTAATATACCTTTGGCAAAAAAAGCATGCTGCATATCAGCATCATTAACCGACTATTAACATTCCAGTAGTCGTGAGCAGTTACACAGGAATAGATAGATAGATAGATAGATAGATAGATAGATAGATAGATAGATAGATAGGTGTGAGCAAGCACAGATAAATATATACATAGATAGATAAATGTGAGAAAGCTGAGATAGATAGATAGATAGATAGATAGATAGATAGATAGATAGATAGATAGATAGATAGATAGATGTGAGCAAGCTGAGATAAGTTACTTACAAGTACGAGAGAAGAAACCTCCTCCAGACTAGTATCATCAGTGTTACATATAACTTTCTGCTCTGTGATCTCTATATTTTGGGCTATAAATGAAGCAATCATCACATATATAACTCAATAAAACATTGAGGAAAACTATAACCAAATGCATATTACAATAAGTTTTTAAGTATTAAAAATAAATCTCAATAATAATAAAAAAATATACCATTAAATTAATGTTTATTTTCAGTCTAATATATCCAGTTGCTGGATTTGGTTAAGTATTCACACTGAATCTCCTCTCCCTCAGTTCTGGTGTTTCAGATTTTCTGGCAGCTTCAGTTCGTTGAGTATTTATTGCATGTCTTCTGTCAGCTTTTTCTTTTTCTGCTGCAGCCGCTTGAGCATCTAATGTACGTTTTCTTGTCAATTTCTTCATTTTCAGACTGTTTTGAGGCTGCATTCCGTTGAGTATTGAATGTAAGTCTTCTGTCACCTTCTCCTACAGTTTCTTCTTTAGTTTTGCTGCTACAGTCCGATGAGCATCTAATCTTTGTCTTAGATCCGCTTGTTATTTAAATTGTGACGCACGTGAAGCTGCAGGCCATTCCGCGTCTTTTCTCCTCCTCTTGCTCATCTGATTTTCAGATTTTTCTGCTCTTCCTCTTTTTCTCCGCTGGTTTTGTTTAGGTGGTTCAAAACGGAATTTTTTAGGAGGCATTGTTGTAAGTGTGTAGCCTAATTATTATTTACCATAGTTAGCTGGCAGAACAGACATCTGAAACATATAGAGCTCTTTAGATTTTGCCATTATAGGATAAACAACTTTATCTATAATTGAAATAAATTGTAAAGTTACATATTAATGAATATGTAGTCTATGTATAGGTTCAAGTGTTGCCTCCTTAGTTTAACAGAGACATAATTTATGGAAAAACTACTCTAGGATGCATATTAATTGGATCATTATATAAGATTTAAACAGTAGGTTTTGTGCAGGCTATAGGAAAGTAAATTTGAGGTCTCAATCAAAAGTTTGGATGCAAAAATGAAAGACGGTATGGTTAAATTTCATTTAAATGCATGGAAACAACTTTTACAGGCAGGGATTTGTGCACACCTGGTATTCTTTTCTTTAAAATAAGTTCTATATAGACATATTCTATATCATTAGGTGTTATATATAGAGTCGCTTTCAAATTTCATCAGAATGTATACCATGGTTGTGTTGTTCAGACTTTTAGAGGGCTAAACCCCTTACTCATCCACTTTGTAAGCTATATAATTACTTTAGAATTTGGATTCAAAATATATCAAGGTAATTAAAACATATAGCCCCATGATAAAAATCCAACGATAATAGATGTTCAAATACTCAAGTTATGGACTTTTCAAATTTTCAATATGGAGCCGAGGGTTAATCCCATCAGTGTGTATTAATATAATTGAACTTGGCTAGTATTTTGGAAATAGGCATCATTGCAGGTCATTTACCTAAGTTTAAATTTTATTTAAATCAAAGGGAAAAATTGAGTGGGATTTTTGCACAGCCCCGCCCCGGGATCCTCTTTGATCAAAATATTATATACATATATATATAGCATATTACAACCACTTTCATGCCCTAAATCGATGATTTAATGAATATCGCAAAAAGAAGCTTTGCTTCTTATAGAGACAGATACACATACATACACATAGACATTCATTTTTTATATATATATATATATATATATATATATATATATATATATATATATATATATATATGAAATAATGGACTCTCACGTCGGTTTCGACGTATGAGGATCTGACAGCTTATTGATTCAGTTATGAAATTTAGTGCGATAATCTTAAATTGCATTTAAGACTCGCTAGTGATTTACAAAGGAGGCCACATATAGAGCAAGTGTGAGGGTTGTGAGATGAGATCGCTGTTAGATTGGCTGACCTTTTAGATCTTGCTCTCGCTTCTTGAAGATGATTGAGACAAGCAGATTGAAAATTGCTGAGTCCACTAAAACACGTTGATCTGCATTCTACCCGCCCCAAGGCTAAGCGCTCAAGGGTGTTATGTCGTATATTGACTGCTGCCAAGTTGCTTTTCAGCTTGTCTTTGTATCTTAGCCATGGGCGCCCTACATTCCTGTAGCCCTGATCTAACTGGCTGTACATTAGATATATATATATATATATATATATATATATATATATAGGATATATAGGATATATATATATATATATATATATATATATATATATATATATATAATTTAAAAAAATCTTGGAATGGCTTAGTTAATGTCCTGATCGTAACTTAATTGAAAATCGGTAGTTGAATTAAAGAAGGCATTACATGCAAGAAATCCCAGTACTATCGGGGAATTGTGGAAGTTTTGCCATGACGAATGGTCAAAAATTGACACTTTCTACTGCCAGAAACGTCTTTAAAATTTTGAAAAATACTCATCGATATCTTGGCCTCAAAAATTCGAGACATCAATAATAAATGTAAGGGTTAACTTTATTTTGCTTAATTAATTGTTAATTTTCAATTAATATTTATATATTCTAACTTGATAAAAAGAATGAAACTGGTAATAATTCGTTTAATAAAGGTTTTTTTTTTTTCTTAATGAATGTACAGTTTAATTAAGATGTGTTGTCTATCTGAAAAAAGAGACAACTTTAAAAATTCTCTTAGAGTCTCATTATTTTGTGCAGCGCTATATCCCTCTAATAATTATAATGACCAAAATATAAGTTGGCGCTAACTAAACTTGTTTTTAAGTTTGGTACGTCAATATAAACGTTTACTTTTGCTTCTAAGTATGCCCCAAAATAATTGCTGCATAAAGAAATGAGAATCAGTTCCTCGATTTATATCATTTTGGATAAAAGAAAATGATACTCGTACTCATGTAACTCAGGGTTGTGGCCATATCACATTGAAATACCGTTTCCCATATCATCACTGAAGTAAAGCAACGTCGAGCCTGATCAATAACAAGATCGCTTACTGCTTGGGATTAACAGGTGCTAGAAGCTTGCGGTGATAGAATGAATAATCATTTGGAAATGTTAATCGTAGATCCGACGTCCTATTCATTATTATCCCCTCACCCCTATTATTTAAAATCTAAAAATATGTTGTGGCTTAAATAATTTGTAAAGTGTTGATATGTCGTAGAAAACGAACCTTCAATCAATCATGTAACTATAAATAGAAATGGCAATAAGTGTACCTCAAAAAGTGAAGAAGAGTACAGATTTAAGGTAATATAAAATTTGTTAACTTATGTGAATAAGGGAACTTCAATTTCCTGTTTTATTAAAAGATATCCATTGAAAATTTGTTATGTCGCCAAGAGTACGTGATTAAATATCTTTACGTATATTATGTATATATGTGTTTTATTATGTGAAACTTGTTCACTATTTACATCATTCGGATTATTGTCCCCATCTTTGTCGCCATATTTATTACAACGTTTCGGCCGTTATACGCCCCGGCTTTCTTCTTTCTGGTTGGAATGTCGAACTGAACCCTTTATTTCGCTCACTGGGGTAGACGGTTTTAGTCCCACATGTCTCGTGGATGTCACTTATCAGTTATCTCCTGTTAATTACCCTTTCCACGTTCTCCACCGCCTTCACCAGGAATTGAACTTACACTCTTTTGGGTCCTGTCACTGGATCAAACTAACGCCTTTAACGACTGTGCCATGTGTCCGAATAATGTAAATAGTATATATAATACCTCATCTCAGAAATATAGACGGATAGTGAATCTTGTTATTATTTAGGCTGGGGTGTTTTTTTTTTATTTCGATAACGTCAAATTGGCATCTGATCTACGTTCTGTTTTTAACTGGGACAAGAAATGAG